AATGCAGTGGGAGCCTATATGTAATTTAAGTTTTTCTAATAGCTACTTTTTTTTTATAATTTAACTTTATTTATTTATTTTAATTTGACCAGAAAGGGACAGAGCAAAAGAGAGAGGGAAAATGAGAAAGTAAACTGCCAGGTCTGGGACTTGAACCGCAGTCAGCCATGTGGGAATCTAGGGCTGTTAGCCACCACACCACCTGCTGGCCCCTAATAGCCTTCTTTTAACAAGATTTTTGTTTAAAAAAATTTATTTTTTTTTCCTATAGGGTGCATGCACCTGCCAGAGTGAGACAAAGAGAGGGGGAAGGGGGATGGGAAATCAACCCCTTTTGGGGGTGGCTACATCATAGTCCCTTCTCTTTCATTCTCTCAGACTCTGGGCTTTCCTGCTCACATGCTTGGCATGATTCTTAAGCTGCTGGATCCAGGACATGAAAGATGGCTGTGTGGGATCCAGCTCCTTAACCTCCATGCCAACTGCTGGCCCTGGTAAAATTAATTTTAACCCAGTGTTTTTTAAAAAGAATTCTTTAACCTTATTTATTAATTCATTTATTTATTTTTTTAAGAATTATTTTACTTGACTTTATTTATTTTAATTTGATCAGAGAGGGACAGAGAGAGAGAGAGAGAAAGTGAGAAAGCAAGCCATTCAGGTCCGGGACTTGAACCATGGTCAGCCATGTGGGAGTCCAGCGCCCTTAACCACCACGCCACCTGCTGGCTCTCCATTCATTCATTATTATTATTTTTTTAATTTGACCAGACATGGGGCTGAGGGGGGCGATGGGGGAGTGAGAAAGCAAGCCACCAGGTCTGGGATTCGACCTGCGGTTGGCTATGTAGGAATGTCCAGCACCTTAACCACCATGCCACCCGTTAGTTCTCTAGTTTAACCCAGTATTTTTAGATATTTTTACCATCTAATTAATATTAAAGGATTCATTATATAAAATTATAATTTTTCAGTCATATAAATTGTTTCCGTACATATAAAGTTACATACATATAAATTGATAAGAGTTTTTTTTCTTAGCCTTTAAATTCCATTTCATATTATGTACCTATTTTGTACTTAAAATATACCTCAGTTTATACTATCCACATTTCAGATGTTCAGTAGCCACATGTAGCTAAGGCTAATGTATTGGATTGTACAGGTCTAGAAGACCAAATAAGTAACTATGTTAGTTAACATGATTCTAAGTATGTTCTAAGTAATGATCTTAAAGGACTAATTTAAAAAAGAATTTTTAGGAGAATTACTTATTTAATTGTATTTATTATTGTTGTTGTTATTTAATTTGCTATAGGACACATGCACTCACCTAAGAGAGATTGAGAGAGAGAGAGAGAGAGAGAGAGAGAGAGAGAGAGAGAGAAGCAAGCTGCCAGGTCCAGGACTTGAACTGTAGTCAGTCATGTGAGAGTCCAGTACCTTAACCACTGTACCACCTGCTGTTCCCAAGAAATAATTTTAAAAATTTATTTCTTCCATGGGAAAGAGAGACAGACAGAGAACGAGGCATCCCCAGCAGGGCCCTCATGCCATGCCTCGCCCCTAATCTTGGCCAGCCTAGATTACTGGTGGGTGTGCCCAGCATTCTTGGGTAGGTCTTGAGATGTGAACCCAGGACCTTTTCCATGAAGGTCTAATTGCATTACTACTGTGCCACCCTCTGGGCCCTTTAAAAGAATAATTTAACCCTTAGAAAAATAGAGTGAGAACAGGCTCTGTAAGATGCTTTTGACTACAGGGATCCAGCAGTTAGCGTAATGGCTATGTCACTGGATTCCCACGTAGTTGACCACGGTTCACGTCCCGGACCCGGTGGCTTAAAACTCATGCCAGGTGCGTGTGCGTGCGTGCCCAAGATCCCGAGAGGAGAATGGAGGAGAAGGGATTGCAGCGTGACCATCCCCCCTGGGGGGTGATTTCTCGCTTTCTGTCTCTCTGTCTGTCTGGTGAGCACACGCGCCCTGTAGCGAAAATCTCTCCAAAAAAAAAAAAAAAGAATGCTTTTGACTACAGATAAAAGAAAACCTAACTTAAACTTTAAAATTTTTATTTTATGTTGCCAGAGGGCATGTGCACTGGCTCCTGTGCATGGTGCTTAACTGCTGCAGTACAGGGCCAGCCCACTTAAATTATCTCTAAAAAAAATTAAAAAGTTAGGGCCAGCAGGTGGCATGGTGGTTCAAACACTAGACTACCATGTTCAAGTCCTGGACCCTACACCTTGAAAATCACTCCAGGCATGTATGCTCAAGATCCCAAGAGGAGGATGAAGGAGAAGGGATTATGGTGTAGCCATCTCCTCTAGGGGGTGAGGGGTGATTTCCATGTTCTCCTTCTCTGTCTATTGGGCAAGCACATGTGCCCTGTGGGAAAAACCTAGAAAAAAAGAAGAAAATTATAGCTAACTAGAATTTCAGAGGTGATATAGATCAGGATTGGCTTCTTGCATAGCTGTAGTTCCATTTCTTTGCCAGCTTCTGTGAGCTGCCTTTATCTCCAAGCTAATATAAAGATAGTGATACAGTTGTGAACTTCGCATGCATACCCAATAACGTGCAGAAGAAAAAGAAGCTGTGTCTCCTGTGGTTTTGTTTTTTAAAAGCAAGAAAACTTAGACGTTTTAGACAAACTTTCCCTCATGTCTCATTTGCTCAAATTGGATCTTGGACTTATTCTTTTTTTTTTGAGAGGTTTTTGTTATAGGGCACGTGTACTCACCAGAAAGACAGAGAGACAGAAAGCGAGAAATCACCCCTCAGGGGGGATGGCCACGCCGCAATCTCTTCTCCTCCAGTCTCCTCTCGGGATCTTGGGCATGCACACACAGGTGCCTGGCGTGAGCTTAAGCCACCAGGTCCAGGACTCGAACCGCAGTTGGCTACATGGGAGTTCAGCGACAGCCATTATGCTAACTGCTGGTCCCTGGACTTATTCTTAAATCATATCCTTTGGATTGCTAAAGAGATTCTTCTGTTACTTTGCTAAGGCAGCATAGTTTAAATGACCATAAGCATGGCCTTAGGTCCTAGGATCTGTGTTCAAATCTCTACCCTGACACTTACTAATATGCGAAGTTACTCGCTTTTCCACTTCTGTTTCCTCATCTATAAATCATGCAGTGGCTGTTGTGGTTGTTTCCTTCAGCATTTGTTCTGTTCGGGGATTGAGCCTCATTTCAAATATAGTCCTGACTAGTCAAAGTAGGTTTTTATCATTTTATCCCCTTTGCTGGCATTTGGTTCAAGAAACTAGGTTTAAGTTAGTCAGTACATGGTATTTCATTGACCCAGGAAAATGGTGCTAAGAAATACTTTGAGAAATGTGTGGCAGTACGGTAGGAACTGTGATAGGGCCTGGCAGGAGGAGGGACGAATCTCTAATCAGAGTTGTACTGGGCTGACCAAGGAAGGCTTCCTGAGAGCCTTTTGAATTATTCTGCAGGAATATGCCACTTCGGATTTCTTCTCCACTTGAGATATTTTAATTTCTTTCAATTTGTTCTTTTCAACTTTTCTTTTATTATTCTTATGAAATATTGTACCGGTACTAAAAAGTTCAGAGAAGGATTGTTCTTTATTAACCATTTTTAAGGTGGAAGCAGAGCGTCGAGCCACTAAAGAAGAAGAAAACAAAGCCAGTGAAGAATATATACAGCGATTATTGGCAGAGGAGGAAGAAGAGGAAAAAAGACAGGCAGAAAAAAGGAAAAGAGAGATGGAAGAGCAACTGAAAAGTGATGAAGAACTGGCAAGAAAGCTAAGCATTAAAATCGTAAGTTTCAGGAGAGAACGTTGAACATTATGTTCATGTTGCTTTGACTGTGGTGGTTCTTAAAGGAATGAAGACACAATTACCATAACTAGAAGCTATCGCTGACATCTTTGCTCTGCTTAAAGCAGGTAGCTTGGTGGTTAAGGGTGCTTGACTCCCACGTGGCCGACCACGGTTCAAGTTCTGGACCTGGCAGCTTGCTTTCTCACTTGCTCTTGCTCTCCCTCTCTAGGCAGCTTGCTTTCTCACTTGCTCTTGCTCTCTCTCCCTCTCTGGTCAACTTTTGAAAAATAAATAAATAAAGTTAAATAAAATAATTTTTTAAAAAGAATCACTTGTTTAATTTTTTTATTATTGTCCTTCATTTTGATCAGAGAGTGCGTGAGAAAGCAAGCTGCAAGGTCTGGGATTTAAACCTCAGTTGGCCATGTAGCAGTCTAGCACCTCAGCCACCACACCACCTGCTGGCCCTCTTTTTAAACGTTTTATTTGTTATTAGTAAATTCAAATTATTAGGTCATCGGGAAAGTCATGATGTATTTTCCTATGTTTTTTAGTGCAAAAATGAGTGACGACTTTCCCAACACCCAGTATATAGGGAAGCTATTCAGTGAAAAGTAAAAACTTCATTCTTCCCTTTCACCTCTCAACTTCCAGTCGCGTTTTGTTACATGTCTCTTTTCACCAAGGGTAAAGCATTATTAACAGTTTTTTATAACTTTCTTCTTATTAATCTAAAAGGGATTATATCAAATCATGCTGTTTTATGCCCTGCTTTTTAAAAAGTTTAAAAAAATCGGGGCCAGCAAGTGGTGTGGTAGTGGTTAAGACATTGATTCCCACATGATGGACCATGGTTTGAGTCCTGGACCCAGCAGTTTGAAACTCGGGCTGGGAACATGTACATGGGTGCCCAGAATCTCAGGAAGAAAATAGAAGAGACAGGATTGCTATGTGGCCATCCCCCCACCGGAGGGTGATTTTTTTCTTTCTTTTTTTTTAAAAAATAATTATTTTTTATTTAACTTTATTTATTTGTTTACTTATTGTTTTAATTTGATCAGAGAGGGACAGAGTAAGAGAGAGAAAGGGAAAGTAGGAAAGTGAAAAAGCAAGCTACCAGGTCCAGGACTCAAAACATGGTTGACCATGTGGGAGTCCAGTGCCCTTAATCACTATGCCACCTGCTGGTCCCTGGAGAATGATTTCTTTCCCTTTCAGTCTCTCTTTCTTTCTCCAGTGAGTGCATGTGTTCTATGGAAAAACCTTTAAAAATTTTTTAAAATATTTATTGGCAGAGTGGCACATGTTTCTCAGGAGAAAGAGAGAGAGAGAAGGAAAGCACCCCCAGGTGGGGTGGTGATCACATCTCAATCCTTTTTCTCCATTTCTCAATCCCCCAGAATTTGGGGCACATTTGCACACCACCTGGTATGTTTTTCAAGCAACTGGGGCTCGGGTTGAACCACAGTTGATCATGTGGCATCTGGCTTCCTTAAGTGCTGTGCCACAGGACTGGTCCTGCACCGTGCGTTTAACTTGTTGTATGTTAGAGGTTTGCCACATTACCACTTGTAGCCTAATTCTTCTTCAGAGCAGAATAGTGGGGCTAGCGGGTAGCATGATTGTTAAGGTGCTGGAGTCCCACATGACTAACTGTAGTTCAAGTCCTGGACCTGGCAAGTTGAAAATCACACTGGGCACATGTGCATACATGCCCAAAATCCCAAGAGGAGAATGGAGGAGAAGGACTTGCAGTGTGTTCACCCCCTCTGTGGGGTGATTTCTCACTTTCCCTCTCTCTTTCTCTCTGTTTCTTTCTGGTGAGTGCATGTAACCTATGGCAAAAAGCAAAAAAATAGCAGAATAGTATATTCCATGTGCAAATGTAAATCACTTTGTGAAAGTGAAGCACGTTACATTTTGTTTTTAATTGCTAGAGGGCATGTACCCTAGCCAGGGAGAGAGAAAGTGAGGAAGCAACCCCCGTGGGAGATTGCCATGCCTCAGTCTCTCCTTCTTCATTCTCCTTTTGGGATTTTGTGTACTCATGCACATGTACCAGGTGTGTTTTTCAAGCCACTGGGTCCAAAGTTGAATAGCACTGTCACCAATGTGGGATCTGGCTGCCTCAGCCACTATGATGCCTTCTGGCTCCAAAGCACATTTTATTTTTAAGTAATACATTAAACTTGGGCTGGGGAGGGAGAAGAAACTGTATTTAATATCTTGCTATCATTACATTATTGCTTCTGAGAAAAAGAAAGGATGATAAAACACTTTAAAACAAGAAGATTAGGGGCCAACAAGTTGCGTAGTGGTTAAGGGCGCTGGATTCCCACATGGCCAACTGAGGTTCAAGTCCCGGATCTGGTGGCTTGCTTTCTCTCTCTTTCTCTTTCTCTTTCTCTTGCTCTTGCTCTTGCTCTTCCCAAGTGTTGGTCTCTCTCACTCACCTCCTCTCTCCCTCTCCCTCTCCCTCTCCCTCTCCCTGCTTCCCTCCCTGGTCAAATTAAAAAATAAACAAAGTTAAATAAAATAATTATTTTTTAAAAAAAAGAAAAAGATTCTTTGAGACTCAGTGGTTTGAAAGAGCCTGGCAAAATCACCTGGGTTTCTTTTGAAATACAAGCTCTTGTACATTCTTTAAATTTACTGAATCAGAATCTCGGGGGTGGGGGGGTGGAACTTAAGGAATATTATCTCCAGAAAAGTCAGGAATTCAGGTTCAAGAAGTAATTCTCTGCTTTCAGACAACAAATATACTTACTAAAATGAGGTATGCTCAAAATTGGGAATTTTATTCTTTTTTTTTTTTGGAGAGGTTTTCGCTATAGGGTGCGTGCACTCACCAGACAGAGAGAGACAGAGAGACAGAAAGCGAGAAATCACCCCCGGGGGGGATGGTCACGCCACAATCCCTTCTCCTCCATTCTCCTCTCGGGATCTTGGGCATGCACGCACACACGCCCGGCGTGAGTTTTAAGCCACTGGGTCCGGGACGCGAACTGCGGTCGACTATGTGGGAGTCCAGCAACATAGCCAGTATGCTAACTGCTGGTTCCCAGAATTTTATTCTTTTGAGAGGCCTACTATTTTTAAAAATTATTTATTTAATTTTATTTATTCATTTGTTTATTTTCATTTGACCAGAGAAACACAGGAACACAGAGAAGGAAAGTGAGAAAGCAAGCCACCAGGTCTGGGACTTGAACTGTGGTTGGCCATGTGGGAGTGTCCAGTGCTGTAACCACCATGCCACCTACTGGCCAGAGGTGTACTATATTATGAATGGTAATTCATAATAATGTTCCCATGTTTTGGATTGAATGCTATCCCCCTTTTTAGAGTTTATTTATGTCTTCCGAGAGAGACAGACAAGCACCCCTAACAGGATCCTCATGCAGTGAGATCCACCTGTCTCAGCTGCCTAGATCATGGGCACACAGATAGGTGCCTGGCATATTCAGGGAGGCCCCATGATGTGAACCCAAGATTTTCCTTATGTGGGTCCAGTTGCATAACCACTGTAGCACCACCTGCCTTGTGCACTTTTTCATGTATCCTTTCTTTCTTTCTTTTTTTTAAAAATTTTATTTAACTTTGTCTTTCTTTCTCTCTTTCTTTCTGTCTTTCTTTCTTTCTTTCATTCTTTAAATTTGACCAGAGAAGAACAGAGAGAGAGAGAAGGAAAGTGAGAAAGCAAGCTGCCAGGTCTGGGACTCGAACCACAGTTGGCCCTGTAGGAGCCCAGCACCCTTAACCTCCATGCCACCCTGGCCTCCTTTCTTTCCTTTTTAAAATTTGAGTAGAACAGCTTTAGAGGTATACACAATCCAAAAATTTAATAGAAGACATTAAGCAGAGCTAGCAGTAGTGGCACAGTGATGACACGATGTTCTGTGATACTGGTGCTGCATGGGAAGATCTCAAGTTCACAACCTGAGGGCTCCCTATGTACATCAGGCATGTACATGCATATCCATGATGCAGACTGGTGCTGGCGTGGATTGTGGCATTGAGGACCCTATTGGGGCAGAGGTGGGGATCTGTCTGTTTTTCTCTCCTTCTCTCCCAGTCTCTTTCATGGAAAAAGCAAACAAACCAACACATTGAACAATGGAATGGGGAAGATAATATTTCAAGGAGGAGAGTCTGGGGTTATTGATACCTATCTTTTAAGTGTCTATTATTCCAATCTTTCTAGTTTTCACATGGGATTGTAAGAATAGATTTATTGATCTTTTAGAATAAATTTTAATTTATTTGTGAAATTTTTATAGCCCAAGGCCAAATATACACCATCACCAATTATGAACTTTTTTCCAGTAAAAGAGCTATGAAACTTACTCATAGAGCAAGTAAATCTTTGATATTAATCTGTATGCCCTTAAAACCCAAAATTAAATTATTTTGAGCTCTTTAAATTTTCCCATATAGGGCCGGCAGGTGACCTGGTGGTTAAGAGCTCTGGAGTCCACATGGCTGACTATGGTTTGAGCCCCAGACCTGGTGGCTTATTTTCTCACTTTTTCTCTCTCTGTCTCTGTCTCTTGCTCTGTCCCTCTCTGGTCAAATTAAAAATAAGTAAATAATTAAATAATAAAGTTAAATAGAATTATTTAAAAATAAATAAAAAATAATTTTCCATATTGATTACAATAGTTATTATTACATGAAACTGCTTATTAGAAAAATCAGCATGATTAATTGGCAGTGAGATTAGTACCATCATGCCCTTTTTTGTGCTTAATGTATAGTAAATAATTCATTTAGATCAACTGTATGGACTTAATTTGTTTTTACTCATTTTGGCATGTCTAATAGTCTTCAAAGGATGTGTAAAATTTAAATGTAAGTTTAATTTCTGAAAAAGTTTGGATTCTTAATTAGTCTAATAGTTTATTTTAATCATAAGATTTTCTTTAGTAATATCTTTAATAATACTACACTTTTTCTAATATTAAAGAACAGTTCCAATGAGGAAAGTATCTTGGCTTCTCCCTTGAGTTCCAGAAAATCTGATCCAGTCACAATCAAGGCACAAAAGAAAAGTAAGAACAAACCAACAAACACCGGAGATATTCAGAAGTAAGTGAACATGACTCAGTTACTTGCTTATTTATTTATTTGCTTTTTAGTTTATTTATTTCTTCCATGAGACACACACACACTCAGAGGGGCTCCCCAACAGGGTTTTCACACTGCCTTCTACCCCTTGTCTCAACCAACCATGAGAGTCATGGGCACACATGTGTGTGCCTTGTGTGTCCTTGGGGTGCCAAGAAAGGACCTTTCCATGTGGACCCAGCATTGGCGAGCGTTCCATTACCATCGCAGCACAGGAGCTGGCCTCGGGTATTGATGTTTATGAACCACCTATTGTGGACCAGTGGTTTTTTCGTATATTAATGGACCGCTGGTTCTCAGTCTTTGGTCCATGAACTCTGCAGTACTCTCAAGGTAGTCTAGATTGATGTAAAGTGAAAAGAAGATGTAGCTTACCCTAACTAACGTGAAGAAGATAAGAAATGTCCTTTTTTTCACCTAGCCACTTATTTTGTCATTTAATCATGTTTGCCTAAGATTTCCATGTATTCTCATGTTCTCAAAATGAACCAGCTGGAATCTTCTTTCCCTTGGTTTAAATTCAAGTGAAAAAACCTTGTCCCAGTTAGGCTTATCTTTTCTAAAGGAGTTCACACTTTGGCATCTAGGTCATTTTTCCCCTCCCCCTTTTCCCAGTTTATGCAGCACATTCTTCGCTCCCATACCAAAAGCACGAGTCAGGTAGTCAGCAGTGGAGTGGCTTAGTTTCTCCACTACACTCTTCCAGCAGTAGGTAATAGGTAGAGTCGGTGACTTTATGAGGATGTAAGTTTTTCCGTAATTAATTCATAGTTTGAGAAGCACAATCTCGCCTTGAAAAACATGTAAGGGTTTCTGGTTCAACTGAGTAAATATGTGCAGTTTATTTCCTTCCTTCCAATGTTTATTGAAGCTTTGAATTTGAGAGGGAGAAATTGTTCAGGAGATATAATTGTTCAGGAGTATTAAATGTAGAGATTGCTATTAAAAGATAAAAACATGTGGTAATATTGTTAGTATTAATAATATGCAAAGTAGAAAGCAAGAGAAAACTATTAAGGAGGGACCAGCAGTTGGTATAATGGCTATGTCACTGGACTCCCATGTAGTTGACCGCAGTTCAAGTCCCAGACCTAGTGGCTTAAACTCATGCCAGACGCCGGTGGGCCCAAGATCCTGAGAGGAGAATGGAGGAGAAGGGATTGCAGCGTGGCCATCCCCCGGGGGGGAATTTCTTGCTTTCTGTCTTTCTGTCTCTTTCTGGCGAGCACACATGCCCTATAGCAGAAACCTCTCCCAAAAAAAAAGTTAAGGAGAAAATAGGATTTTTTTTTCCTTTTAAGTTTTATTGGAAGGCACGTATGCTTGCCTGAGACTGGACAGGGTAGATGGCCATGCTGCGCGAGCACACATGCCCTATAGCAGAAACCTCTCCCCCAAAAAAAAGTTAAGGAGAAAATAGGAATTTTTTTTTCCTTTTAAGTTTTGTTGGAAGGCACGTATGCTTACCTGAGACTGGACAGGGTAGATGGCCATGCTGCAATCCCGTCTCCATTTTTCGTTTTGGAATTTTAGTCTTACATGTACATGTACCTATCATTTTTTTCTTTTTTCTTGTTTTTTTTTATTTGTTTGTTTGTTTTGTGTTTTTTTTTTCTTGTTTCTTTCTTTATTTTTTTTTTTTTGAGAGAGAGAGATATTTTGCTACGGGGCACTTCCAGCCTTGCAAGCAATGGTACTGTCTGTCATAATGCTGGCCAATACTTAACCTATAAGGTTTTGTCATGGGATTAGAACAAAACAGATAAGAGGATAAAAGAAAATTAACACTGATAAATCAGCCAATCAGCGGACCAGACAAACAGACCTATGTAGTTAACGTGGCTTTAACGTGGCATATTATATATATTCAAAGCACTCAAACTTCGATAAACTTTTTTCTTAAGGTATTTGTCGCCTAAATCGCATTTTGGATCAGCATCGCAGTCAGAAGTTGTACAAGAAGTTAAGAAAATGTCACTATCTAAGGTACATTGGTACTGAAAATGTTCTTAGTTTGGCTGTTTTGTTAGTTTTTTTTTTCTTAGTATGTAATATTCTCTTTTTTAACATTTCTTCATGTTTTCTGTTTTGGGGAAGTGGTTTCCCAAAAGGCCTTCATGACACAATCCAGCTTCCACTTCAGGCAGCCAGGGCATGAACACATGCTCATCACTTTCAGGGAAACCTCTGGACACGAGCCTGGGACCTTTCCATTTGTCTTTAGCATCACAGAGCATTGCATTACCACTCCCATCTTTGGAGCTTGCACTTTTGTACATAAAACAGAGTGTGGGGGTCAGGCAGGTGGCGTGGTAATAGTTTAGGCAGCTGAATTTCACAAAGTTGACTTTGTGGTTCAAGCCCAGGACCTGGTGCCTTGAAAGAAACACATTGGGTGCATGCGTATGCATACCCAAAATCTCAAAAAGGAAAATGGAGAAGGGATTGCAGTGTGGTCATCCCCATTAGGGGTACTTTCTCAGTTTCCCTCTTTTTCCCTCCCTCTCGCTGTCTGTGATGAGCACATGTGCCCTATGGCAAATTGAGGGGGGAAAAAAGTATGTGGGGGGTGGGGGAGTGAGAGAGATTTTTGACATGGTCCCATGTTGGTATCCTCTTGCCCTAGCCTTCCAGTTTGGTAGGACTATAGGCAGTGCCACCACACCTGGCCCATTTTAGGTTGGACAAGGAACAGAACCCACCTAAACCATTACACAGCAGTTCCCTCTTACCACCAAACCTGGGCCTAGATTGGCACATTTATTAATACTATAGATTATTCATACATGTAGTTTCCTAATTTTTTTAAACAACAATAGTTAACCCCTTCTTAGTTGTCTTAGGCTCACCTGGCTAGGACCAGCTAGGGGCCAGACTGTGATGAAGCATGAACTCAGTGGACCTACCTGAGTAGGTCCCCTAATCACAACCTGGTGCTTCCCTGTATGGTGCATGGTATGTGTGTGTGTGTGTGTGCCTGTGATCTGGGTTAGTGAAGACTTAGGTGAATCACAGCATGAAGTCCTTTTAGGGTGTGTGGGGGGTGGGAGTAGGGTACCTGTCTGTCTTTGTTTTGTTTTTTAAGATTTTTGCCATACGGTCTGTGCACTTGCCAGAAGGAGACACAGTGAGAGGGAAAAAAAACATCCCCCAGGGGGGATGGCTACACTGTAATCCATTCTCCTCCTGGGATTTTGGGCATGCGCACACACATGCCTGGTGTGATTTTCAAGTTGCCAGGTCTAGAACTCAAACCACAGTCGGCCATGTGGGAATCCAGTGCTTTAACCACTACACTACCGGCTGGCCCCGAGTGCCTGTCTTTATACCTCCCTCTCCTTCCTTCTCTCCTCCCATCTCTCTCTCATGGGAAAAAGAAATAAATACATTGTAAAAAATAAAATAAAGTTTGGCTGGCTCCATGGTCTAATGGTAAAGTGAGCTGGATCCCACATGGTGATGACACAGTTCAAATCCCAGCCCCAGCAGCTTGAAAAACACACTGGGTATGTATGCGTGCATGCCTCAGATCCTAACAGGATGGAGAAATGGAGGAGAAAGGAGTATGATGTGACCCTGCCCTATTTAGGGGTGCTTCTTCCCTTTCTATCTCTCTTTGGCTAGCACACATGCCCTCTGGCAAATTAAGTAAATAAATAAATGGCCGGATGGTAAATATTTTAGGTTTCGAGGTCAATATGGTCTCTCACAGCTATTTAGCCATGTCATTGTAGTGTGAAATTATCCATAAATGATATTTAAACAAGTAAGCTTATCTGTGTTCCAATAAAACTTTGTTTACAAAACAGACAACAGACTGGATTTGGCCATAGTCCATGGGTCATGGTGCTGATCTCTGACTAGATAGTCAAACTCAAAAAAACAAATAGCATCAGCTTCACGTCAGAGATTGTAAGATGGGAAACAAAGCATGCCAGTAGGGCAGAATCAGGCAAAAAAGGAGTCCTCACAGCAGAGCCCCTACATGGTGGCCTAGAAACAAGATCACACGAGTGAGTATGGTAACCACTCTGGTTTAGAAGCCTGGTGCTGTGTAAGTCCATTATTTCCTGTAACAAACCATGGGCTTGGCTTCCAAAGGTCCTGGTTAGGAATACAGCCAGCCAAAAGAGTGGTAAGGCCTTACAGAAGCCCCAAGCCTTAGCTTCTCACTGGGACTCAGAACACGCATCTTCCTAGCACAGATACAGTGTTTGCTAGTTGGGTCGCTTTTACCATAAGCTGTGTGGCCCAGTAGCACAGGTAGTGTTCCACCTTTACCACGTTTCTAGGGAAATAAAACTAGGAAAGGGAGCTCACACTGAGGTCTGTTTCTGTATAGAAATTTTGTTAGCCCTTTACCCACAGGCTCCTAATATTTTTTCAATTCAGCTAGGTGGTTTTATGTCTTTTTTTTTCCCCTTAATTTGCTAGAGGGTGCGTGCATTCACGAAAGAGAAAGTGAGAAAGCACCCTCCCCTCCATGGAAGATGGTCACGCTGCAGTCCCTTCTCCTCCCTTATGCTTTCAGGATTTTGGGTATGTACACACATGTACTCAGCATATTTTTCAACCCACTGGGTCTAGGATTTAACCACATAGTCATGCGGGATCCAGCCGCCTTAACCACCCAGGTGCTACTAGCCCCACTTTTTTTTTTTTAATTTTTAAATTTATTTCTTTCACGAGAATGAGAAACAAAGAGAAAGACAAGCACTTTCAATAGTGTCTCATGCTGTGGTCTACCCCTAACCTCAGCCTTCCTAGCTAGCCAGGATCATGGGCATGTGCCCAGCACATGCGGGTTGACAGGGAAACTGACTGCCCATCCCACCCTATTGGTCCCCTGCAGCACTGCCCCCTTAGTGGTTTCATGACACCTAACATTTAATGGATATTTACTGCGCACACACAATGTACACGCTATCTTCTTTAATCTTATCGACCACTAACTATAGTTATCTTTCTTGTGCCCATTTTATAGTTAAGAAAACTACGGCACAAAGCATTCAAGAGACTTGCCCCACATCTCTCAAATAGAGCTAATGGGAGAATTCAAGCCCAAATAGTCTGACTCATATTGGAACTGAAGATTGGTTACAAAGGCATTGTAGGTCTGGGGTGTTTTTCCTACCCAGAGGTTTATATTTACAATAACATTAGGTAAGCAATGTAGAATTGGCCAATTCATACCACTTTTTTTTTTTTGGAGAGGTTTTTGCTATAGGGCGTGTGCACTCGCCAGAAAGACAGAGAGAGACAGAGAGACAGAAAGCGAGAAATCACCCCCCAGGGGGGATGGCCACGC